TTGCAGCTCCTCTTGACAGTCTTTCAGAGGTCCCGAGGCCGGTGGGGACCTGTGCGCTGCTGTTGGGACTGACCCGATCCCCATTCGCTGCGGCGGGACCTCACCATGCCTTTGTTTTCGCAGGCCTTTCGGCTGCGCGTTTGGGATGCCGCCGCAGTCGCGGCGGGTCCCACCGAACGGGGCGCGTTGAATTCGGAGGCCCTGACGCGCACGAGCAACCGCGGATGGGAAGGAGGATGCAGACCGCGACCCTGATCATCCAGCTGGGCTGAAACTTTGGACGGATACCCTCTAAGATCCTATACTTTATTTGACGTCGGGTACTGGGCCGCAACACTCCGCCACAAGACCTACATGGTCTGAGCCTGAATGGTCGAAGGGGGCCTCCGTGCCTCCGTCCTGTCCTCTCCTCCGCGGCGGCCGCTCGTCTTTTCTTCGCTTCCCTCTGCGCAAGAAACCGTCGTAGTGGCCCTGCTTGGCCCGAACCGGCTCGCGCGATCGCTGAGTCTGCGGCCAATCAGGCTGTGCTGCTGTCTTGGCCGGCCAGAGGGCTCATTTTCTTGGTGCGTGCTGTCCTGGACCTGCTTCGCCCATGCATCGTCTTGCGTACCGGCGTGGCCCCGGACGGCGCCGCCTGCGCGCAGATCGGGCCATCGCGAGTGGCAGCACCCAGATCAGCAGAGGCTGTTGGGAGGAAGCAGGGCGTCGAAACACACAAAGAAAGCAAAAACGCGGCGGCGCCTCCGGCGCAGCCCCTGGCGCGCTCCGCGCGCCAGGGGGGGGGTCCAGCGCCGATCCAATATACAGTATATCTGCGCGGGCCTCCGACGATTTATGTTTACGCTGTGTCCGTGAGCTGCGACTTCGAGCCTGTCGCCGGCAAGCCAAGGCAGTGCTTGCAGGTTGTGCCCTCTCGTGGCCGAGGCGCTGCGGTCTGCGACGCGTGCTCCTCTGACCTGCTCTTCGTACGGCCGGCGTGCGGGCGGCACGCCTGCGAGGCTTTGTGCCGCGTCATCGAGCATCGAGAACGGAGTCTCGAGGTTGGCCGGTCTGGCGTCATCGAGCGCCGAGGTTCCCGGGCAGCCCAGGCCGGCGCCCTCGGGGATTCAGCGTCGAGGTGTTTTTGGCCTGTCGGCGGTTGTCGCGGTGGGCCGCCAGGGGCTCCCAGGGAGCCTCTCGGGGGGCCTGCCAGGGGCTGGCCTCCCAGCAGGCCCCCCTCGAGGCGCGTGCTGCTCGCTCGAGCCCATGGGGCTCCGAGGCGCCGAGGGGGTCGCCGCCGGAGGCGGCGCGCTCGAGACCGCCCCTGGCTCGGCGCGCGAGACCGCCCCCCGACTGCCGGGAGGAGGAGGAGGAGGAGGAGGAGGAGGAGGAGGAGGAGGAGGCGGAGGAGGAGGAGGAGGAGGAGGAGATGGAGGAGGAGGAGATGGAGGAGGAGGAGGCGGAGGAGGAGGAGGAGGAGGAGGAGGAGGATGAGGAGGAGGAGAGTCCTCGATCTCGGAAACTGGAACACATGCATTGCCTGTGGCGGGCTGGTTGTCAACCCCAGGACGTTTTGGAGGGTCGGGGGGACGACGTCGGGGTGGTGTGGTGCATGCATGCTTCCCCGTTTTCTGGGGGGAACGACGAAGAATGTATACACCAGGATCCCGTATACACCCAGATCCGGTTTCCTGTGCAAGTGTTATTGCAGGGCCGGAAAAAGCGTCGCTGTATAGAGTTTATTTCCTTACGATCGGTTTGTGCACCGAACCGCCCAAAACAGATGCCCCCCAGCCGCAGGCAGCTCCCGATAGCTGCCGATGGGTGGGGCATGCGGGGGGCAACTGTTAGCGGCTGTCCGGTGCACCAACGAATCGAACTCATGCCCCCCCTCAGGGTCACCCCTCCGTTTGGTATTGGTGGATCCCGAGATCGCCCTGGGGGGCCTGAGGAGGCCAGCCTGGGCCGTCTCCGCGGAGGCCGTCTGCGCGCAGCCTGCCAGACGGGCCCGAACCCCTGGGGCGCCGAGGGGGTCGCCGCCAGAGGCAGTGCGCCCGAGACCGCCCCCTGGCTCCTGGCATCGCTCGGACGTGTGCACCCTGCCCTCGGCGAGGACCCCCGAAGAGCATCTTGCACCAGCTCCGACGAATGTACGCACGGAGCCGAAGAACACACGGGAAAAATGGACGTCCGAGCGACGGCAGGGGCTCGGCGCACGAGACCGCCCCCAGATGGCCCCGGGGGGGGGGCTGCCGAGGCGGCCGGCCTCGGCCGTCTCCGAGCGGAGGCCGCCTGCGCGCCAGCCTGCCGGACGGGCCCCCGCCTCCCTCCGCGCCCTCTCGCGGTGTGGCGCCGCGCCGTGCCCCCCCGGGCGAAGGCCGCCCGTCGCTCGCGGCGTGGGCCCGCTTCACGTCGGGCATGTCCCTCCACAGGAGGAGCAGCCCAAAAGAGTTCACAAACAGTTCACAAACACAGTCCGGGGAGATTTTTTATTTAAAAGTATATGAATAAAAAGAAGTCTTTCTTGCCATTTTCGGACGTATCTTGACTGTGTTCATTTTTCGTCCCAAATCCGCCTGCATATAGGAAGGAGGACACGCCCGACCTGAAGCCAGCTCCTGGGCCGCCTCTTTTCGCCCCCCGTCCCGGAGCTTGGCTTGGCCTCTTGTCTCCGCCTCTTTTCGCCCCTGGAGGCCGAGCACTGCCACATCACTCCCGCCGCGATTCTTCGCGGCGCGAGGGGACCTGTCGATAGGTCACCCTCTTCCCCGGGGTCCATCCGGGCCCGGTCCAGTCGATCCGACCTCGATTCCGGCCGGCTCGATCCGATCCGGTGCCGGTGCTCCATCCGATGTGCCGACGATCCGATGCGGCAGGATGTTTGCATGGCGCTGTACGCGCGCCCCGTCGCAGACGATCAGATCCAATTCCGACTCCCAGCCCGACTCGACGCACGTCCCGGTTCTGATATAGCCAGGACCCTGCGTTGGGGGAGCCAGGTAGCGATCGGGCCCCAAAGCCAACAAAAATGAATCAGAAGCACTCAGCCATGTCTGCCGTAGCTGCAGTGGGGGCCCATGCCAAGAAACACCCTGCTTGCCTCCAGGGTGCCCTGGGTTTCTTGGGTCTCGATGGTCTTGCGATGGAAGGCATGACGCTCCCACACCACAAGTCAGTGGACGTCCTGGGGTCCCAGGGTCGGGTTTCTTGTGGAAGGCTTCTTGTGGACTGGCCTCCACTGTAGTGTCCTTCGGGCGGCGGCAGTGCGGGTCAGTGGGATGAGGCGGGGGGGCGTCCCCCTGTACACCATCACCAAACCAGGTCCCACAAAAAACAGTCCTACCAACATTCGACCGTCCGAGTTCCCGATCGGATGCCGACGGATCCTGCCTCCTGGTGGCGTACCCCCCCCCGGATTCGGTAGCATCGTATACCCCCGTAAATCCGTCTCTAGAGTACGTTAGCGCCGATCAGCGTCTGGTCATCGATGAGGTTGCCCCAGACTTTGCGCGGCGATGTAGCATCGAGAGCTGCATCGAATGGCGTCGATTCAGCGTCGACCAGCGTCGACTCGCAAGAGGCAACAAGATGTTATCGAACTGGCGTCACCCCAACATACTAATATTATCGGTGCGTCGCTCCCCCCAGGGGCGACGCGCGCAACGAGGAATCTTATACTATACGCGTCGTGGCGGGCGCTTCCTGGTCACACCGCTCGGGAAATGATATACTACAAGATGGGTTTATTCCCAACCCTCCTGTGTTGGGTACTCGTTTTGAATAGAGGTGTGTGGTCGCCCCGTCCTCCTCCTCTTTCCCTCTCCTCCCCTCCTCCTCTCCTGTCTCCTGTGTTCCCCTCCCCTCTTCTCTCGTGCCGTCGGGCTGCGATCTGCGCAACTGTCCCCACTTTCGTGGGCTCCTGGGAAGCCCAGCGGAGGTACGTCCCACGAGGACCACCTCGAGACGTCGCGGTGCCCTGGGATGGCTGCGATCTGCGCAATTGTCGCCACTTTCGCGGGGTCCTGGGAGGCCCAGCGGAGGTACGTCCCACGCGGACCACCTCGAGACGTCGCGGCGCCCTGGGGGGCTGCGATCTGCGCAATTGTCGCCACTTTCGCGGGCTCCTGGGAGGCCCAGCGGAGGTAGGTCCCACGCGGACCACCTCGAGACCTCGCGGCGCCCTGGGGGGCTGCGATTTGCGCAACCGTCGCCACTTTCGTGAGTTCCTGTGAGGCCCAGCGGAAGTACGTCCCACGCGGACCACCTCGAGAACTCGCGGCGCCCTGGGGGGCTGCGATCTGCGCAACTGTCGCCACTTTCGTGGGCTCCTGGGAGGCCCAGCAGAGGTACGTCTTACGCGTTGCCGCTGCTCTTCTTGCTGCGCTCTTCTGAGTTCACTGATGGGTGCTCTTCTTCCGCACTGCGGGCTTTTCAGCAGGCCCGTCAGCATTGAGTGGTCGGGAAGGTAACCACCGCATGTATAGAAAGGGTTGGGTACGTCGCAGGGTAATTAGATGTTCGGGTCGGACGCGCACCTCCAAGCAGGACGCACAGTAGTAGTACGTCTCTGTGCGTCCCATGGGAGAGGCTCCCGTGCGTGCCGCAGAGGGGTGCCGGCGGATCCTGCCTCCCAGGGCCGCCCACGATCCGATTCGATCCGATTCGACTTGCCGACTGGGGCCGCGATTCCAGTCCGATGCGGTCTGGCCCTGCTCACGTGGCATCGGCCAGGGCCCTTGGCATCGCTCGGACGTGTGCATGTTTCCGTCGGCGAGGACCATCGAGGAGCATCCTTGACCAACTGGCGAAGAAACCACGCACGAAACCGAAAAAACACCCAGGGAATGGACGTCCGAGCGATGGCCAGGGGCCAGCCGGAAGCGGGGCGCGGCGATTCGCTGCCGATCCCATTCGGGCCGGCTCCCTGGCGGCTGGCTCCGCTCTCGATCCGATCCGCTGTCGCGAGGCGATCCAGGCCCAGACCTGCCTCTCCCGGCTGCGCACGCCCCCCCGCGAGCCAGGTGGAGGTGAGCCTCCTGGGGCCGCGGCGGGCACCGCGGGGAGCGGAGGTGGACGCCGCGCCGCCACACCGGCAGGCGCCGCGCAGACGGCGAAGACGACGCCGACGCCGACGACGAGGACGACGACAACGACGACGAGCAGGGCGACGACGCCGACGACGACGTCGTCGACGCTGACGACGATGAGGACGACGACGAGGACGTCGACGACGACGACGACGACGACGACGACGTGGATGGCGCCCATCCAGTCGAGCAGGTGTGCCCGCCGCCGCCCGTCCCCGAGGTGCGGCGCGGGCCCGGGGCCCCCCCGGGCGCTCCGAGCCGGGTCGCAGCGCGCGTCGCGTGCCCCAGCTCGGCGGGCTCCGGCCGCAGCAGCGGTCGTTTTTTTCCGTTCCGCCGTGCCTGGGCGTGCCGCGGTGCGCGGTAAGGGGCGCATGCCTCCGGACGGGGGGGGTGTCGCCCGGTCAGAGAGAGAGAGAGAACAAAAAAAACAAAAAAAAAAATACTCCGACGGAAGGACCCCACATGAGAATCTCTTTAGCTTGCATGGGGGTATCCTCCTGCCCCTTCCCTTCTCCCACCTACTCTTGCCTCCTCGTTCTCCTCCTGTCTGCTCCTCCTCCTGCCTCAACCCCTGCCTCTTCCTCCTCTTCTTGCCTCCTCCACCTCCTCCCCCTCCCCCTCGTTATGCTTCCTCCCCCCCATTCCCCCTGCCCCTCCTGCCTCCTGCCTCCTCCTCCTGCTCTCCCTCTCCCTTCTCCTCCTCCTCCTCCTCCTCATCCCCTGTCCTCCTCCTCTCCCTCTCCCTCATCCGCTTCCTCCTCCTCCTCCTCCTCCTCCTCCTCGTCCTCCTCCCTCCTCCTCCTCCTCCTCCTCCTCCTCCTCCTCCTCCTCCTCCTCCTCCTCCTCCTCCTCCTCCTCCTCCTCAAGCCTCCTCCTTAGGCCTCCTGCCCCCTCCTGGGGCCTCCTGGGGCCTCTTGGGGCCTCCTGGAGCCTTCTGGGCCTTCCGGGACCTACTGGGGCCTCCTCGGGCATTCCTCCTCCTCCTTTTCCTCCTCGTCCTTCCTCCCCTCAGCCTCTTCCTCTTCCTGCTTTCCTGTCTCGTCCTGCATCATCCCTCCTCCTTTTCCTGGCAATCCTCCTCCTCCTCGTCCTCGTGCGGAACACGACCCAGAGGAAGCGCACGACGTGCGTCCCAGCCGATACGCGCCGGAGGACGACCCAGAGGAAGCGCGCGCCGGAGGATGACCCGGAGGAACCACGTGAGCTGCGGGACCCATAGGAAGGCTCCCGCCTGACGCGTCCTCACAATTCACTCACAGACGAGGGTCCCGCTTGATACTTCTTCCAAATTCAGACCTGAGGAGCCCAAAAGTGACGACAGTTACAGGAATCCGATGACCCGCTCGGATTAGTAACATGATCTGCGGGCCCCATAGGGAGGGGGCTCCCGCCTGAGATTTGCTTGCAATTCACTGACAAACGAGGCTCCCGCTTGATACTTCCTCCAAATTCAGACCTGAGGAACCCAAAAGTGACGACAGTTACAGGAATCCGATGACCCGCCTGGATTACTAACATGATCTGCGGGCCCCATAGGGAGGGGGCTCCCGCTTGAGACTTCATCGCAATTCACTCACAGACGATGCTCCCGCTTGATACTTCCTCCAAATTCAGACGCGAGGATCCCAAAAGTGACGACAGTTACAGGAATCCGATGACCCGCTTGGATTAGTAACATGATCTGCGGGCCCCATAGAGAGGAGGCTCCCGCCTGAGACTTCATCGCAATTCACTCACAGACGAGGCTCCCGCTTGATACTTCCTTCAAATTCAAACCTGAGGAGCCCAAAAGTGACGACGGTTACAGGAATCCGATGACCCGCTCGGATTAGTAACATGATCTGCGGGCCCCATAGGGAGGGGGCTCCCGCCTGAGACTTCATCGCAATTCACTCACAGACGAGGCTCCCGCTTGATACTTCCTCCAAATTCAGACCTGAGGATCCCAAAAGTGACGATAGTTACAGGAATCCGATGCCCCGCTCGGATTACTAACATGATCTGCGGGCCCCATAGGGAGGGGGCTCCCGCTTGAGACTTCATCGCAATTCACTCACAGGCGAGGCTCCCGCTTGATACTTCCTCCAAATTCAGACCCGAGGAGCCCAAAAGTGACGACAGTTACAGGAATCCGATGACCCGCTCGGATTAGTAACATGATCTGCGGGCCCCATAGGGAAGGGGCTCCCGCCTGAGACTTCCTCACAATTCACTCACAGACGAGGCTCCCTCTTGGTGGATGATGGTGATGGGATGATGACGACGGTGTTTGATGATGATCTATGATTGATGATGATGATGATGGTGGTGGTGGTGATGATGACGACGTGATGATGATGGTGGTGATGATGAGTGCTGATGGTGAGTGATCGTGCGATTATGATGGTAAATGGTGGTGATGATGATGGGGACGAAGTGGTGAGTCAGCGAGTAGTGATGATGATGATGATGATGATGATGATGATGATGATGATCGTTCGATGCCGATGATGGTGAGTGATCGTGCGATGGTGATGGTGATGCTGATGGTGATGATGATGATGAGTGGGGAGTGATGGTGATGGTGATGATGATGCGGAGGAGGAAGCAAAAAGGAGCAGAGGAGAGGGAGGAGGAGGAGATCCTGCGCGGAGGGTGTGCAGAGAAAACAAGAACCCCACTTAGGATGTGGGGAAAAAGAAAATAAGGAAAGACGTAAAGAAAAAGAGAGAGAGAGAGAGACGGACACAGACACAGACACAGACACTGACACAGACACAGAGACAGAGCGGGAGCGAGAGAGAGAGGGAGGGATGGAGAGTGACGTATTCCTTCGCCCTGTGCTGGAATGACCATTCGTTCCCCCCCTGCCCTCTGCAGATGGCCCATACCTTATTCGACACTCTCAGGCTGAACCCTGGACGACCCGAGGACGGCTCGCGAAAGCTTCGAAAAGGGGCCCAGGGGATCTCGGGAGCAGGAAGGATCGGAGGAGCTGGGTGCGGGGCGAGAAGGGAAGTACAGTACATAACGAACCTCCGTCAAAACATTGGGCGTTGCTGCCTCCAGGGGGCCGTTGTTAAAAACGGCGCCGGAGTTGCTGTTGCAAGAAAGGGATCCCTATCCGGGGAGCGGTTTCCGACACATGATCCAGCATAATGTTTGAGCCTTGATGGCGAGGAGAGAGGATAAGGAGAAGGGACGGTTGAACAAGGCTGAAGAGAAGAGGGTTGGGAAATGAGTTAGTTGGAACGGAATCACGATTGATTATCAGATGGATTGGCCAGGGAAAACGCCGGTGACGATGGCTCGGAACGAGGAGTGAGGGTGATGAGGAGCCGCAGATCATGCATCAACATCACCACCAACATTTGCTTGCGGATGCGGAGGGCAAACGCGCAAAGAGGGAAGGTGTGAGGATGCTATCTGCGATGATGATCCCAAAAAGTGCTGGCGCGACGAGCATGGTTTGCTGATGTCATCCGCGATTGCGGTGGCAGTGGTCGCAGAGGACTTGCAGGGACGAGCCTGGCGTGGAAAGGCCGCGGGGGGCCCAGGGGGCGGGTGGGCGAGGGGAGGGGCGAGCGTTCCTGTTCTGCGCCGGCGGCTGGGCAGGGCAAGTGCGCTGGCGAGAGAGCTGCACCTCAGCGGGGGCACCGTGGCAGCGAGTGGTGCCACCAGGCAAGAGGCATGGACAGCGGGGGGGGGGGAGGGCGGCCGAAGGCGGCGGGGAGGGGAGCGAGGGCTGGACCGCTCAGGGCGACGGGTCACACAGGGGGGGGGGCGGGGGGCGAACAGGAGGGGCGCGAGCGGCAGACGACCACTCGAGGACCCGCGCGCGAGCGAGAGCACGGTGGCGCCCCACGTGGACGGCCTGCGCGCCCTCCCGCGCACCGCCCGCCGCGGGAGAGCTCTGGCGAGGGCGCGGGGCGGAGCGCTGCCTGTGAGGCCGCGCTGCACGAGGCACGGCGCGGCACCTCGATCTCTCCGCTGGCTCGGGCGTTCGGCTCGGCGGCGCGCGAGGGGGGGGCCGCGAGAAGGAGAAGGCCTGCGCGGAAGGCTCGGAGGTCCCCCGAGCTCCTGGGAAGTTCCCTTCGCCTCCCCCGAAGCCGCAGGAGACTCATCGGGAGGCGCGAGGGCTGCTGAGCAGTCCCGCCGCCTTCTGAGGAGGCCGTCTCCTCCTCACTTCTCCCCCTCGTCCGCCGCCCAAAGGCGTTTGATAGTGGACCCCCTGTGGAAACCAGCCGTCCAGCGCTCGCGACGCAGACCGCCGGAAGCCGCCACAGACCGCGGGAGATCGCCGAAGACCGTCACAAGACCGCCGAAGACCGCCCGAAGACCGCCAGCAGGAAAGGAGGGAGCAGTGGCGGGAGGCTGGGGCGAGGAGTGGCGGGGGGGAGGGGAGGGGCGAAACGAGCTTCTCTGCGCGCGGACTCCTGAGTTCAAGGTTTCGGCGTCTGTTCAGAGATGACGCGCGCCTCGCCCCCAGGACTGGGGCCGCGGCCACGCGATGACAAACGATGCTTGACATGAGCATGCAGATGCAAACGGAAATAGAACGGATGCCGAGGACGTCCTGCGCACGGGTTGCGGTGGCCCCTGTTCTGCGGCAGGAGCAGGTCGACATGAAATCGGCCCGGTGGGGGGAGGGGTCTTGCTAACGCAGGCAACAGGTCGCCCCCAACCCCGAGTCGGTCCCACACGTCAGGGGCGCTCAGCACGAAAGGGGAGCTCGGGGATACACCCCCACAGGGGTTTTCCGCGGACGCGCCCCATGTCAAGGCTGGGCGCCCACCATCGCACATCTCCGAGTTGGGCCTCGAATGTCCGCCCCAGCCGAAAACCCCACAGTGTCAGGGGTCGGGGTCGCCATGCCCCCCGTGCAGTCGACCCGCATGGTAAGGATGGGCAACCTTATCCATCTTTGGCCACTTTCGTTGGCCGCGCCCCGTTCAAAAAAAACATCGAAATTGGCGCCCGGGGCCCGTGCATCCTTGTCGCGCAACCTTATTATACGGGTCGATTGTAGT